AATTTTACCCACAATGGATGTCAAATTTACTAGTCTTGTATCCTGGGTCACTTTTGTTACCTTTCTTAAAAATAGGTCTAACATCTGCCTTTCTCCAGTCCCCCGGCACTCTCCAGTGTTCAGTGATTTGTGCAAACTTTTTCTGCAACTTACTCCCTTAGTTTCATAAGGACCCTTGGATGCAATTTATTCAGCCCCTGAGATTTATTAACATTAGGTGTGTGTTGCTGTTTGGCAACCATGTTCTTAGTGATATGAATAGTCTTGCAACTTTTCTGTGTGACATCCTTGGGTTCTCTTCCAGATCAAATAGGTTACCTGTCTGCTCCTGAAACAAAGAACTTATTTAGCGCTACTGCAGTCTGTGCAGCATTATTTGTCATGTCCTCTCACGATCCCACCTTCATTGGCCATATTCCATCACTTGTTTTCTTTTTCTCTTAATGTAACTGAAAACCTTTTTATAATCCTTCACATCTCTTGACATGTTCAATTCAAAATTTTCCTTTGCCATTCTTAATGTTTTTGTACAGTCCTGGCATACCTTCTGGTATTGAATCTGATGTAATTCTGTGCCATTTTCCTTCATTGGCCTTGAATGCCATTTTTCCTCTTGAGTTTTGTAGCCCCATTCAACTAGGCAGGAGTGCCTTTAAGCGTGGTACCATTGCTTCCAATGCGTCCACATTGTTCCATTACCTTCATAAACACCTCCTTAGAGGAACTCCATAGATCGTCCATTCCCTTTGCCATATTTAAGTCTGCCAAGCCCACTCTGACAAGACTTCTCAAGCGTACAAAGTCGGTCCTCTTGAAAGTTGGTAGTATTGGCTAGCTTTTTATAACCACCTTGTCAAGCCAAGCTGTCCAGTGGCATGCTGCTGCCTCCTGACCACAGCCCATCGTTTGTGGAGTCCTGTAGCTCAGTGGTTAGAGCACTCACTTTGCAAGCGAGACACCTGGGTTCAATTCCAGGCAGGGCGAAACCTTGGGCAAGTTTCCTTACTCCACACGCCTAATAATAATCTCTCCAAAAACAATAATATATTGGTCATTTTAAATCTACGACTGTTTGTGGAACATTGTTGTGCGCAATTGGCTGCCGCGTTCGCCCACAAATATACAGTCAATTCACTTTACAGTGTGTTCTGTGAAGCGCTTTGGGACGTCCTCCCGACGTGAAGAGCGCTATATCAAATGCAAGGATTATTATATTTATAATAAGGATTATTATTATCATCTGTCGTGCGCTGTTGCTTTTTTGTGAAGTGGTGTGGCTGTTTATTCGTAGATGAACGCTGCAGTCCAATTGTGCATATCAATGTCTCACAAACAGTCATAAAACAAATGTCCAATTTTATTTGGTCAGGACCCCAGGAGGAACTCCTTTCCCATTTTCGAGTTGTGCCAAACAGGCAGATTGGACCTCAATTGAATGTCTCAGTCAGAAAATGACACCTGACAATGCAACATACTTGCACTGGAGTATCATCTTAGACTATATGAGTTCAAGTCCCGGCAAGAGAATTGAACTCGTAAGCTTCTGACTCAGAGGTGAGAGTGCTACCAACTGGAAGTTATGGGAAAATAAGCCACACCTGTTTGCAATACAAGCCCCATTCTCCTGTTTTAAGCCCTCCATGACGCTTCATGCATGAAAAATGCTATACAAATGCAAGTTGTTTTTGTTGTTGAATAGCCTTATTGAATTTTAAGCTTACATCTGATTTTTATGTTGCCAGTCATTAAGGTATTTCATTTTCTAATCTGAGCCAAACATTTTAGCAACATTTTCCTTCCCAAAATCCTGATTGGCTCACGCCAGCGCCTCTGCACCTCAGGCTCTGGCAGCATCAACGTCCATGGTTGCACACTACAATTCACCAAGCCAGTCAGGAACCTGGGTGTCTTGTTCGACCCTCAACTGTCTTCTTCCCCACATCCAAGCCATGACCCGCTCTGCCTTCCCTCACCTCTGTAACATCGCCCGACTCCGCCACTACCTCACCCCTCAGGCCACTGAAACTCTTGTTCATGCTTTTATCACTTCCAGGTTTGACTATGCAAACGCCATGCTTGTCGGCCTTCCCAAGTCCTCCCTCCACAGGCTGCAGATAACCTGTAAAGTGAATTGACTGTATATTTGTGGGCAAACGCGGCAGCCAATTGCGCACAGCAATGTCCCACAAACAGTCGTAGATTGAAAATGACCAATTTATTATTGTTTTTGGAGGGATTATTATTAGGCTCTGTGTGGAGTAAGGAAACTTGCCCAAGGTTTCGCTCGGCCTGGAATTGAACTCAGGTCTCTCGCTTGCAAACCGAGTGCTCTAACCACTGAGCTACAGGACTCCACTTATACTTTACAGAGCTGTCAGTGATGATGTGATTTATGCAGATCAGACTTATGCAAGTTTTACACTATAGTAAAAAATGACTTCAAGTCCTTGTGTACTGTAAAAGCACATAGTTCTTTGAATTTGCTATGTAAGCCTGAAGTTCCCAAATTTCCAACTGCATTTCTGGTGGATAATGTTCAACCTCAGTGTCTGAAAGAGAGAAAGGTTGGTGAAAAGTGCTATATTTTCTTTCTTTCTATAAAATCTTGAAAATGGACATCAAAGGAATTAATTAGTGAAGAAATCGCATTCTAATATTTCTTGAAATTGATGATGATGTTACTGTCACTTTTTAAACTGTTGCAAGTGAACAAATTGATCCAGTTTTTTTTTCTGAAACAAACATTCATGTTTGGCCTTGAAAGCTTAAATTAAACAGAGTTGGAAAAAGGCAATCCTTTCCTTGCAAGCACCAGTGGTCCTGTCATAAAATGTGCTACGTGACACTACCAGCTGTGTGGAGTGCCACCTTGTGTCACATGTTGGTGCTTGGCCACCACTGGCATAAATCGTACACATGCATCCAAGTCCCATTCAGTTTCCTACCAAAACTATTTAGATTTATTTGCACTACTCGTAATTATCATCTAACTTGTAACACCGCTCCCCTATCCTCCATTACACCCGCACTTACCACCTGCATTGAATCGTGGGAAATGACATTCTGACCCATCGAAGTATGCGCACTTACCAGCCCACTGCATTGAGTAGCGGGAACCGTAGTCTTGATCCGTCACCGGTGCCCAGAAGAATTTCATTTCCTGCGATTCCAATGCTTGCTGGTAAGAGCGCATGCAGCGAGGGGTCAAGACGCATTGAATCACAGGAAACAGTCTTGACCCGTCACCACACATGCACTTACCACACACACTGCTGTGATGAAGTACCACAGTGCAAACCTGTACTTGTATGCGCAGTGTACTATATTGATTAGGTTGGATTTTATGTGACTAGTACAGTTTGCCTGTAACTCACTTTGCATATGTCATATTAAATATGACTTGTGCAAGTTTTACTATCAGTAATTTCTGGTCTGTATGTATCTGTAGTAGAAGCTGTTATGAAAACACCACACATATAGAAGTCTGACTGTCTGAGCTGAGTGGGCCTATGTGTTAGTGTTTCACTACACTATGTAATTTTATTGTTGGATTAGCTTCATCTAATTCATTTGTTGTTGAATTAGACGTCCCAAGGTGCTTCACAGACTATACTGTAAAGTGAATTAACTGTATATTTCGTGGGGAAATGCAGCAGCCAATTGCGTACAGCAGTGTCCCACAATCAGTCGTGGATTGAGTGACCAAATTATTATTATTTTTGAAGGGATTATTATCCCCAGAAAAGCGATCCACCAGGCAACTAACAACCAGGTTCCTACTTACTGCTAGGTAAACAGAGACGTGTGGAGTCAGGAAACTTGACCACCATTTTGCCCTGTTGGGAATTGAATCCAGATCCTCTTGCGAGGCGAGGGTTCTAACCACTGATCTACGGGACTCCACATATGTCACACTGGAGCTTAGTGACATCAGTTTATGTGACAGAATTTTACCAAATACCTGTTGGGCACAGATAATAACAATAATAATCCTTGCATCTGATGTAGCACCTTTATGTTCCACTTTGCTAAGCCAGTCTGGAACCTCAAGGTCATGTTTGACCCTCAACTATCCTTTCTACCCCATATCTGCGCCAAGGCCCGCTCTGCCTTCCCCCACCTCCGCAACGTTGCCCAGCTCTGACACTGTCTCACACCGCAGGCCGCCGAAACCCTCATACATGCTTTCATTACATCGAGGCTCGACTATGGAAACTCACTGCTTGTCGGCCTCCCCAACTCCTCCCTCCATAGGCTGCAGATCATCCAGAACTCTGCAGCCCATGTCCTCTCCTGCACCAGGCTCCACGACCCCATTACTCCCATCCTCACCTGACTCCACTGGCTTCCCATCACACGGAGGATACAGTTCAAGATCCTGGTCCTCATCTTTAAAGCCCTCCATGGTCTTGCTCCCTCCTACCTCTACGACCTAACCCCCTACTCCTGCTCGCCCCCTCTGCTTAGCGGGCTCTGGCCTGCTTCACGTCCCACTCACCCCGCTATCGGCGGGCAGGCCTTCCGCCACTCTGCACCCACCCGCTGGAACTCCATCCCACAGTCCCTCTGCTCCCTCCCTTGCCACCTTCAAGACCCATCTCAAGACCTTCCACTTTGCCTGTGCTTTTGACTTCCCCCTGCTTCCCTCCCCAACCCCTTGCCCTCCCCCCTCCCCCACCCCAACCCTCAGCTCGGGTCCATAACTCTGTCTGTCCAGCACCTTCGGACATCCTCCCGACGTGAAAGGCGCTTTACAAATGTAATTTTGTTGTTGTTGTTTAACATCAGGAGAACATTTCAAAACTACTTCACGGGATTTACTGTAAATTGTACTTGATTATTTGCATTGGAGAGTCAACCTGGACTGAGTTCAGCAAATTGATGCAGAACTTGATCCCACAACCCTCTGGCCTGATCAGTCAGATTGTTACCAACTGATGCAGGATGACACCTACATCTGTGTGTGTGTGTGTGTGTGCGTAACCAAAGTGAAAGCTCGTATGTGTTCAGGAAGTACAACAGCCAAACCAATGAGAAACAGAAAAGTGTGATCAGCAGTGACAGCGAGTGTGACAGGCTCAGCAACCACACGCAGTCAGGAACCTTACAGCACAGGATGGACAGGATTCTGGTGACCCCCATCTTATTTGCCTTTGGCTTCATCAGTTTCACTGGTAAGTACTGAATCCTCTGCTATTCGTGCTGGCGGCTGCTGAAGCGTCTGCGAGGCGCTGGTGTCTGTCACTGTTGTGAGAGTCAGCACCTAACACTAACCTGCTCGGCTGTGCTCGCTCGCTCTGAGTCATTGCTCTTTTATAGCGGCCGCTGATGTTTGAGTTTAACACTACTCAGTGTCCACCTCGACCACGTCTTGTAAGATCATTGTATAGTAATGCATTTGAAGGCAGAGGGGCGGGGGGGACAAGTGGTTACTTTCTCTCCGCTCCAGGTGGCAGCTTTTATAAACCATATGTTCCAGTTTGCAAATTTAAATTGAATACTTTTGCTTAGTTTTTTTTAATAGGGTGAATAATTAAGCCAGAAAGCACATTTCAATTTACAGGGTTGGAGCACTCATGCACTCATTAAAGGTGTTTTTTTTTAATTCTTAAAAGCCTCTTTGCAGTAAATTTTGGTGAAAAACACCAGGGCAGACTTGATGTGGCGTCTAGCTGTAATCTTATTATTATCTCTCATAGCATTAGGCTCTCAGTGTTATCTGTGAAAGCCAGACTCTCACTCGTGCTGTGAAAACGTGTGTTTTTGATGCAAACTACCTGGCCTTTGGGCAGCGAAATGTATCAGCGAAATTCCAGCAGATCAGAAACAGACCAGTCAAGCAGTTAAATGGCCACACTTAACGTTGACTTGCCTGGCATTTCTAATCTGCTCGGAAACGTGTTGTAAACGTTTATTTGGCCTCCTCATAGCTTCCTCCTCCAGCAGTGGCCTCGAGAATTTGCTGCAATGTCCCTGTCACAGTAAATGTGTTTGGTGGTGACAACCTCAGGGCTGCCTTCCTCCGCACTGTGTGTCTAACCTCCCAATTCGCATTGGCCTGGTCTGGCCGGTGTACTGAGGACATTAACATTACAGTGAAGCATAAATGTTCTTCCATGTCATAAAACCTTGTGAAGAATGTGCAATGTATTTTCTTCTCTTTCTCTCTCTCCCACCCCCATCTCTGATTCTGCTTGCAGTTAATGTGTAGCAAATGTTCTGTTCAGCTCATCTCCTCAGTGACTGACTGTGTGGCTGTTTTAATTCAACATCTGATGTACATTAATCGCTAAACACAACACCATCGGTTTAATTTCTTATTGCCATCTCGCAGAAATTCCCAGTGTGTTTTCTGTGTACCCCTCACACGATTCAGCACAAACATATGCACTCTTGCATGTGAAAGTGAAAACTTTGGGTTGAAATTCACTGTGGAAATGAGGATAATGGAAAATCCTACATAATATGGCATGTAACTTTTTTTTAATATAAAAAAAAGTGGGTTAAAAAAAATTGTTGCAAGTAAATTCCTGGTACAATAACAGGAAAATAATAATGATTACTGTCAACATGATTGCTGTCTTTAAGATGCTAAAGGAGTTAGACAATAGAGATTATGACAGGCTGTTTCAACTGGTCCAGAATAGTAAAACCAGAGGACACCACCAGAGATTGAAGGGGAGTAAATTCAAAATGATTCTACACAAACACTATTTTAGTGAACCTATGGAAATGGTTGAAGCAGGAAGTGTTGATTCTTTGAAACACAGATTCGATAGTTTTCTTTTAGGCAACAACATTATGGGATATATATAAAGGTAGTTTGGGACATATGTTCATGAGGCTGCTAGGAAAGTGGAAGGTGAATTAGATGGACCTTGGTTTTTTTTGTCTAGCATTTCCTATATTCTAATAATTCTTGCATTAGATATAGTGCCTTATCACACCATTGAGACGTCTCAAAGCATTTCCCATAAAACCGTATTCTGTAAAGTTAATTAAAATTAAAGTCAAGCCAAATGTTTTTTGCAGTTATCAAAAACATGAGGTTACAGTTCTAGGGTGTTATAAAGACAAACTGGTCTTTGCACGTTGAAAGATTAAGCACAAATATTTACACTCTTGCATGTAAAAATTAAAACTTTTGTTTGAAATTTTCTGTGGCAATGAGGATAATGGAAAGCCCTGGGATTATTCCCATTCAGCTCCTGATAATCCTACAAGCAAAAATTTGGTCAATAATGGGATTTCCAACAACCAGAAGAATTTCACTCCTTGAAGAGTAATATCCTGCTGACCCAAAATTAAGTGACCAAAGCCTCTTGAATCAAATGTTGCCATAGGAGAGAAGATGTAGCTGTGTTGTACCATTGACTGGTCCTGCAAACTCTTCATTTCATTCATTGCTGTTATTATGCTAATGTTGCAGGTATTCAAAGCCAACCTGGTCACCCAATAAATATTGTGAATATTACAAACAATGAAGGAATTCAAAATGCAACTCGATTCGCAATGTCTGCCTATAACAACCAAACTAATGACATCTTTGTGTTTAAAGTGAAGAGATTTAATAATGCAACGGTGCAGGTAAGATTGTATCCATCCTTCAGATGAAACATTAATCCGTGGCCCTGTCTGCCTGTTCAAGTGGACGTTAAATATCTTATGAAACTATTGGAAAAGAGAAAAGAGTTTCTCCTGATGTTCTAGAAACTGGCTCCTTAAATAAGTTTCAAATGAATAGATTTTGCTTTTCCAGTTTGGGAAACACCACTGATTGGAAGTTTAAATAATTCACTAAACAGATGCTCATCCAATGCTATTCTGTGGTATTAATTAAACACAGAAGCTAATACACAGCCTGGTGCAAGGTTTCTTGTCCAATGTCCCTTGTCCTTTGCTTTTCCTGACCAAAAAGCCACTTTGCTGGCAAAGAGCAGATAAGGCATTTGCTTCCAGATCCCTGGTAATATTAGCCTGACACTGTCCAGCCACTAATCCTAGAAAAGAGAAGGTCTACCCCCAGGCATCTGACAGTGGAGTCCTGTAGCTCAGTGGTTAGAGCACTCGCCTTGCAAGCGAGACACCTGGGTTCAATTCCAGGCAAGGCGAAACCTTCCTTACTCCACATGGCTAATAATAATCCCCCCAAAACAAAATTAAATTGGTCATTTTCAATCCATGACTGTTGTGGGACACTGCTGTGCGCAATTGGCTGCCGCGTTTTGCCCACAAATATACGGCCAATTCACTTTACAGTCTATTCTGTGAAGCACTTTGAGACGTCAAGGATGTGAAAGGCGCTATATCAAAATGCAAGGAATATTAATGTTGGCCTAAATTGGGCAGTGATTTGTAGCCTGATGATGGTTTTAGTTTCTACCAACTTTCATCTGCACAATTCTGAAGATGGAGGCTGGAGTTTCACCGGTTCTGGAGTTGACTTTATAGTATATTCTGTGAATCACTTTAAGACGTTTCAATGACATGATAAGGCGCTATATCAATTGCAAGGATTATTATTAATCTTAAGTTTCATGCAGTACCAGTTAGATTTAGTCTACTTTCTTTTTAAAGGTGGTGAAAGGATATAAATATGTTGTTGAAGCTGTGATTGGACGGACAACATGCCGTAAAGGAAAACCATTCAATTTTAAAGACTGTCCATTTCAACCAAAGCCACCACTAAATCGGGTAAGACCAGTTTCTTCATGCTCAAAGCAAGACATTTACATAGATTGTACAGCATCGAAACAGGCTGTTCAGCCCAACCAGTTTATACTCCACATTGGTGTCCACCCTCTCCTTCCTCGCTCCCATATGCTTCTATTTCCTGCTCCTTCATGTTTATACCTCGCTTTCTCTTATTACCCTCTGTGTGAAGAAGTTCTTCCTAAATTCTTTTAGATCCCTCCTCCTGACTAGAAAGGCGCTATACAAAAGTAATTGTTTGTTGTAGTCGCTATACTTGTGTTCCCTGGTTACTGACTCCTCAACATTTGCAAACCGCCTATTTATCCTAACCTTATCGAACTCTTATCATTTTAAATAGCTCTGTTAAACCCCTTCTTTACTAGGGGAAAAAAGGCCTAATGTATCGGATCTATTCTGGTAAAACCCTCTATTCACAGCGATCTTGAGATGAATCAAATCAGTTCTACCATCAGAGGCTCGAGATGTGGTGATACAGTGGAGCTATTAGATCAATGCGAGTTTTCTGATCTGGTTTGATGTGGGCAAATGTTGTACTAAATTGTTACTTTATAGAAATTAGAACTGAGAGTGTCAACCAAGCAAACTTCCAGAGGCTCAGCCACAACACATCGAAGATTTGCTATTTACAAAATCTCACAAATTAGACCCCAGTGAGTTAGTTTTGCCTAGTCATTCATTGTTTTCTTTTTCAGGAATTTGTCTGCTACTACACCGTCTGGAGTATTCCTTGGGAAAAGAAATGGATATTACTTTCATTGAAATGCCAATAATCCACATAGACCCACTACAATAATTTTCTGACTGCTTCATGTAGAAATCTTAATTTTGCTTGCTTCATTTTTATTGCGCACTTGCACTTTACTGGGACTATTTTTATTGGTATACTGAATACAACAACAAGATTACGTTTGTATAGCGCCTTTCATGTCGGGAGGATACAGAAGAGCACCATTCAATCCAATCCAATTTTTAGTGACGAAATTGTAACTCAGGAACAGCAAATGTAGTGCTAAATGTTCATAGTGCTGGAGCTCTGCCCAAATTACCTTCCAGTTCTCCCCCTCCCCATCAACCTGTCCTGCACTCCCATTGGACTATCTGCCCGTCGATCAACCTATCCCATGCTCGCATTGGACCATCCACATGTCCATCAACCAGCTCCATTCTCTCATTGGACTATCCACCTTTCAATAACCCGCCCTGAGCTATTGGACCATCATCCTGCCCATCAACTCATGTCATGCTCCCATTTGGACCATCCAAATGCACCTCAGTTGACGGGATTTTATTTTCGGGAATGTGGGAGCCCAGGCTCTGCCTGTCCTGGATTTCAGGCATCAGAGCGAAGCTCCAACAGCACCGCACCTTACACATGCAATGAGTTTGTTTGAAGCAGTACCCGTTTGTCAGATTGGATAAACGGTGCACATCAGTGGCAGAGCTTTTAAAACTTATCTTAAACCTTTTAAGGATCGTATTCGGTGTATCAACCTGTTCGGCTACTTGTTGATAACAAGGACTTCAGGTTTGTCACGGCAGGAAAAAAAAAGTCAGTGGAGAAAATGTCAGATACTGATTTTTTTTTTTCCCTTTTGCCCGTGACAAAACCTGCTGTGCCAGTATTTTAGGAGGTCCTCCCGACATGAAAGGTGCTATACAAATGTAATTTGTGGTTGTGCCCATGATTTCCTGCATTAATGTTGAGAGGCTAGCACGTGCACCATCCTCTATCAAGGTTTATGTGGGAAATTCAAACTATTGGCACGAGGCTAGCACATGTTCTCACACCGACAGCCCAGCCGCTTCCCCACAAACCGGTCTTGCGGATTTGCATTCATAGGTCCTGGTTTAGACATTAGTAATGTTGGGAGGTATGAAGAGGTAACATTGAATTTGCATACCCGTGACTTCTCCCAACATTTCCCACGATATTCACTAAATTTAGCGTGATTGCTCTGCAATTTTTGATCAAAAATGCTGTGCCAAATCTACAGCCCTAATAACAATTGGTATCACAATTATAAGTCAAAGAATTTACCAAATAACCTTATCTGCTGCACTAACTGGGTAATGTCTGGCGTTAGTTTGACTGTCACTGTACATTACAATAGATTGCTTGCCTCTCCTCGATTATCACCATTCCTGTGATGTAAACACAGAATCTTTAGTAAATAGGCTAATGATAAACTGCATGTGTGCCTGAAGTATTCATTTTAATGATCAGTTTCATTTTGTTTTGGTGAACTAACCACTCCAAGTTCATGGGAATATCCACGTGTACCAAGCAAAAGTCCATGGATCTGTCTGGTTTGAATACTCTTAATGATGGTGAAGACAGCCAGCTGAACAAAAAAAGTCCCATGATGATGGGCTTGTCAGTCATTATCAGTCCCCTATATCATTGCAGACCTGTGGGTACCGTATCAGAGTCCACCATAGTATTAACTTAACTCACTTTGCCAAACATGTCACAATACAGTTAGCTTTAACCCGAGGACCACAATCACCACCTCCTCAATTGAAAAGAATGACACAAGTCACTCATGAGTCATCAGGAAATCACATGTTCAACGTCTTCCTAAATGCAATTGTGAGCAACACAACTGAATATAATACAATCGTCCAGACCACAGCACAAACTCTATCTCCATTAGGTGAAGGTGAAAATCTTTAGTCGTAGCTTGCGTCCATACTCCAGGCTGTAGGCCATCCTTTTCAATGAGCACAGGAAATCAAGCAATGCTGCAGTCCAACAAACCCACATTAATAAAAGTTATTGTGGCAACTGGCTCTTTACAAAATAAAAAGGGTCCACACTAGATTTCAAACCATTTTGGGGACTATAATAAAGCCAGTCCAAGCTAAATCTGTCAGAATGTGATTTACCAAATGTAATTAAGTATCCCATCCAACCCTTTCCAGCACAGTATTGTCTCAGGAGTCCTGTAGCTTAGTGGTTTGAGCACTCACATTGCGAGAGACCTGGGTTTGATTCCTGGGCAGGGCGAAACAAAACGTTGAGCAAGTTTCCTTACTCCACACGCCTCTGTTTTCCTAGCAGTAAGTAGTAACCCAGCTGTTAGGCAATTGGCAGTTCGCTTTTCCTGGGGTAATAATCCCTTTTAAAAAAAAATTTGGTCACTTAATCCATGACTGTTTGTGGCATACTGCTGTGCACAATTGGCTACCATGTTATGCCCACAAAATATACAGTCAATCACTTTACAATATATTCTGTGAAGCCTTTAAGACGTCTTGAATATGTGATAAGGCACTACATCAAATGCAAGGATTATATTAATATTAATTATGTTAATAGCCACTGCCTCATTTATGATCTTACTTTTACAATGTTGTCACAATGCAATCCCCTTAAACCCAGTTATACAGGCTTCAAAAGATAACCAACACAGGTACACACTTATTCATTTATTTTTCAGTGCACAGCAAAGCTAGAAATCTCATTCAGTGCAGATTCTCAGAATTTTTATTTTTGAAAACAAACAGAAGAAAGTTAAGCTTTTTTGTGGTCATTAAGGTGAGGGAAATTGAAGGCTGGGCCAGATATGTCACACTGATCTATTCAGACACTCAGTATCCATTACTCCCAAGTTGGAAGGGTAGAAGCAATGTGTTGTACATTACAGTAAAGACAGCACTAACTGTGCAATATGGAGCATTAAATACTACAATAGTGACAATGCCAAATTGACGCACTAGCCAATACTGCGGTCACCATCTGGAACAAAAATCAATGCTTCCAATGCCTGCATATCCTTCTTACCCAGTCAAATACACTAACTTGAGGTTAGGAGAGGGGAAATGAAGTGTGATCTTCACATTTTACCCTTATTCTGACGAGGCAGAGAATGGGTTTAATTCACGGCATTTGTTAACAGGATTCCTTTACTCCTTAAGCGCTCTGGGAGGCTACCCTTCATGAGAACGCTACATAAATGCAAGTTGTTGTTCCAAAAAAAATAGAATCCTATTAATTTTCCTTCTGACCCATGGGAACAACTCTGTAAGTGAAACATATTGGAGGTGAGGTTCCAAGTGCACTCTTTAAAATTTGTGCAACTTGCTTCAAAATTGCACGAGAGGCCCCACCCAATATGATATGCAGCCTCCAGTGGGGCGAGACACAACTAGAAAAAACTCAGCTTCAAATCACTCACTCAGGACTGAGTGCAATCAAAGGGGACTCTACATGTGTGCAGAACTCCCACTGACCAGGACAGCGGACAATTTTATTCTACAATAAAAGATTGAAAAATGTGACATAATTATCACATTGTTAATAAATGCAGTTAGTCAATAATTAACAGCATTGAATTGCCACAAATAAATAAGCTAAGCCCCCCTACCATTAAGTATTGTGGTAATGCAGTGCGTTTGCAGCTTTAACTCACTAAGTGTGATATGTATCACATCATCGTTTTACAGTGTTTAAAGCATCAAGGCTAGTTCAACAAACTTCTTAACCTTTTAACTTTTATTTTCAAGATTTGAAGGTTTGATTTGCACAGTCTGGATTCAGATTGGAGGAATACTCCATTCAGGATGTGGGAATACTGCTCTTAAAGATAATAATTCTTGCATTTGATATGACGTTTTATGTGGATGAGACATCTCAAAGCGCTTCACACTGTAAGTGAATTGTCTGATTTTGTGGGTGGGTGGGTGTCCCTGAATCAGGCACCCAGCAACTAAAACAGCACGGTTTGGATTGATATCACACAGGATTTGTATACTATGTTATAACTACAGTATCAGGATATTGTAATTGTAATACATTACAGCAGATGAGTTTCTCTGTTTCTTATCCATGTCCCAAGGCAGGGAATTGAAATTACAATCGACAGAATCACAAGCCCTTCAGCATATTTGAAGTTATAATCCCTGCAGGGGAACATGGAGCTTTCCAGAGAACACACGCCAATTATTCCTAAACATTCACACGTTTTCAACAGGGATTGGGGTGAGGGGTGGCCAAGCTGAACGGGTTGGGAGGCAGGAATTAAAGAAAGGTCCTTCAGCAAGTCAGGTTCCTCAGCTTTCCAAACGTGCTGCTTCTGCATTTTGCAGATGTTCTCAGCTGGGCTCACCTAGGAATTTTGGGAGGGGGAGGGGGAAGGGAAACACTCTCGTCTCTCTGCAGCGATGTCAAACCTTGTTCAAGTCCAGCCTGCAAAGGAAGGGAGCATGGTAAGAGCCCAGGTAAAGGTACCCTTCGTGTTCGTGGGCCTCGCTGACAGAGGGCACCACAACGCCATGCGGGTCGTGGAGGCTTCGCCGCACGGAGCCATCTTCGTCCAGCTCCAGCACCAGGCCGTACTTGGGCACAAACTTCATGGTCATTCCTGACTGAACAGCTAAAAAAAAGTACAACAAAAATACAGGTGAGGATTTTTTAGCACCATTAAATAAATAAAGCAAAACCAACCCTCTCTCACAGTCAGTCACAATTGAACCTGGTGTAAATGCGAATGCCTGCTGGAAGCAGCAATGGTCACCATTACCAACTGATAGACATCAAATATATAACAGGATTCTCTTTAAAACACAAAGGGTTTGGAAGAATTAAGCTTTGCAACTCCCCAGCTTTGACAAGAATTCAAGCACCTGCCCTGGCTTTTGTTGCAGCCCTCTTCACCGAAAAGGAAATGTCTCGCAGAATAATTTGAGATGACGTCAATGCTGATTTTGAGGCAGATGCAGCAGCCAGCACAACATGAAACACGAGACTCCATGTCCACCGGAACCACAAGACACGTGGGCCCTAAATTACTGACTACCTTGATCATCTCATCCATTTGCTCCAATTCACTAACTCCGGCACCAACAGAACTTATTTGGAATGCTGTAGCTCAGTTGTCAGAGCACTCGCCTTGCAAGGGAGAGAGTTGGGTTCGATTTCCGGGAGAGCAAAACGCTGGGCAAGTTTCCTTACTCCACCCGCCACGGTTTACCCAGTAGTAAGTAGGAAACCGGTTGTTAGTCGATTGGCAGATCGCTTTTCTGGATGTAATAATACCGTCAAAAAAATTATTATAAATGGGTTACTTCAATCAACAACTGTTTGTGGGACACTGCTGTGCGCAAATGTCTGACGCATTTCACCCACAATGCGATTTGAGATGCCTCGAAGACATGATAAGGCTCTGTATCAAATACAAGGATTATTATCATCTCAGGCAATCTCTCCAATTCAATAATTACAGCACCAACAGATCTTATTTGAGCTCCAATTTCAATGAAATTTGTTATCAAATAAGTAATATCAGAATGCATTTTTTCCTTCAACCTCTTTCCTCCCTTACCCAATGTTAGCTTGCCTAATGTTATAGCGCTCTCACCTCTAGAGTCAAAAGCTGTTGGGCTCACGCTCTGTTGGGATTTTGAGCTCATGGACCAGGCTAACATTCCAGTTTAGTGGCGTGGGAGCACTGCATTATTGGCAGTGTCATCCTCAGGATCCTACCTTTCACACCACTTCGTCGCAGCAAACGGCTTCTCCTCCAGCCCCTGCACTGTCTCGTTCGGTGTCCCTCAGGGCTCTGTCCTCGGTCCCCTCCTCTTCACCCTCTACATGCTCCCCCTTGGTGACATCATCCGCAAACATGGGGTTAACTTCCACATATATGCGGATGACACCCAACTCTACCTTTCCTCCTCTACCCTCAACTCCACGACCACCGATGTCCTGGCAGTCTCTGGACGAGAGACAACTTTCTTCAGCTCAACGCACGTAAAACTGAGGCCCTCCTGATTGGCTCACGTCAGCGCTTCCGCACCTCAGGCGCTGACAGCATCAGCATCCAAGGCTGCACTCTCCACCTCTCAAAGCCAGTCAGGAACCTCGGGGTTCTGTTCGACCCTGAGCTGTCCTTTCTTCCTCATATCCGCGCCATAACTGGCACCGCCTTCCATCACCTCCGGAATGTCGCCAGACTACGGCACTACCTCACCCCTCACGCTGCTGAAACTCTGGTCCACGCTTTATCACCTCAAGGCTGGACTATGGGAACTCTCTCCTCGCCGGCCTTCCCGGCACCTCCCTCCACAAGCTGCAGGTCATTCAGAACTCTGCAGCTCGTGTACTGTCCCACACCAGGCTTCGACCACATCACTCCCACCCTCGCTCGCCTCCACTGGCTCCCCATCCCCCAGAGGATCGAATTCAAGATCCTCATCCTCACCTACAAGGCCATTCACGGCCTTGCTCCCTCCTACCTCTCCGACCTACATACCTACATACCTGTCCGTACCCTCCGTTCTGCTCCACATCCCCCACCCTAACATCGGTGGCCGGGCCTTCAGCCTCTCGGCTCTGGAACTCTATCCCCCAGTGCCTTCGCCTTGCTTCCTCCCTTTCCTCCTTCAAGGCCGGTCTCATGACCTTTCTCTTTGACCGTGCCTTCAGCTCCCCTCTCGACTCTCTACCCTCTCCCTTCCCTCACCCTGACCATTTCCCCCCTGCTCGGGTCCTGACCCAACTGTACAGCGCCTTGGGACGTCCTCCCGACGTGAAAGGCGCTCTATAAATGGAATCTTGTTGTTGTTTTTGTGGTACTGGCATCCTGACCGACTGCCTGTCCGACATCAAGTCCTGGATGAGGACAACTTTCTCCAACTCAACGTCAGCAAGACCGAGGCCCTACTGATTGGCTCGCACCAGCACCTCCTCGGGCGCTGGCAGCATCAGCATCCATAACTGCACACTCCACCTCACTAAGCCAGTCAGGAACCTGGGTGTCTTGTTTGACCCTGAACTGTCCTTTCTCCCCCACATCCATGCCATGACCGGCATTGCCTACCACCACGTCTGCAATATTGCCAGACTCCGCCGCTGCCTCAACCCTCAGGCTGCCGAAACCCTCACCCATGTATTCGTCACCTCAAGGCTCGATTATGGAAACTCCCTCCTCATCGGCCTTCCCAACTCTTCCCTTCACAAGCTGCAGATCATCCAAAACTCTGCAGCTCGTGTAGTCTCACGCACCAGGCTCCGCGACCCCATCACTCCCACCCTCACCCGACTCCACAGGCTCCCCATCCCCCAGAGGATCGAGTTCAAGATCCTCATCCTCACCTTTTAGGCCATCCATGGCCTTGCCCCCTCCTACCTCTCTGACCTGCTGATTCGCTACTAACCTACCCATTCCCTCCATTCATCGGGCTCCGGCCTGCTCCATGTCTCCCGCCCGACCATCGGTGGCCGGGCTTTCAGCCTCTCTGCCCCCACACTCTGGAACTCTATCCCACGATCCCTTCGCCTCGCTTCCTTCCTTGCATCCTTCAAGGCCGGTCTCAAGACCTTTCTCTTCAACCGTGCCTTTGGTCTCCCTCCCACCTCTCTGCCTTCTCTCACCCCTACACCACCCCTCCCCCGTGCTCGGGCCCCGACACCTGACTGTTCAGCGCTTTGGGATGTCCTCCCAACGTGAAAGGCGCTCTATAAATGTAATTTTGTTGTTTGTTATTGTTGTAAAGCTGCTACTTTAAGTTTTGTTTTTGTAGGGAAGTACATGTCCCAAAAGCCCTCTTTGTTAAATAAAAACGTTAAGGTGACTATTAATCTGCAGAAGAGGAGAAGTTTGATCAGTGCATTGCCTACCTTAAAAATCAGTTTCTTAAGCCATGGTCGTGGAGCAAGGAAATCCACCATAGAAAAGCCAGGATTCGGGCGAAGAATTGCCATACCCACCCAATAGCCTCCAGAGCTGCTCGGCCGAATATTGTCAGGAAAGCCAGGCAAATTGTCAAAAAATATGTCCTGGCCACCCTTCCTCAATCCCGAGGTATGATACCTGGAAAATATGTGGAATTTAGATGTCAAGATTCACTCTCACTGATGTACAACTGCATTGCAGTGTGTACTGTGTACAGAATGCCCTGTAGTCACTCAACAATCTTACTTCAACAGCACCTTAAACTGAGATTATGTTGTACCTGACCATGTGACCTACATGCACTGGATTCATTTTGATACATGCAGTCATCATATCAGCTGTTTTTTGCCCACACCTTCTAATTCTGGCCATGGTCGTCTCCGAAATCAACAAGTAGTCCTCGGCTGGAGAAAGCTGGACTCCATTTGCGAACCTCAGATCATCCATGAGCACCTCCAATTGTTTGGTCAATGTATCATATTCGATCAACCTGCAGTAAAAACAGGGCTCAATTAGACCAGGAGGGTGCAGTGTTGATAAGAGCAGCTGTTAAGTGCTGAATGTGTGATATCCGGCTCCATCACTGTGGGAAACTAATGGTGCAGAGCAGAACTCGTATACATTCACCTCCAAACAGCCTTGGAGAGCTGGGAAAGAAGAGAAGGCTGGAGCAGTTCAGACTGTAAACTTTTCCACATAAGTGGCAGGTCACTAAAGGCAAAGTCAGCCATTCCCCTCCCTTTCAGTGAAGAGGATAATCCCATTGCCCAGAATCCCAGTGTGGCTCAATTGGTAGGAGATTGGTCTCACCACTGAGTCAGAAGGTTGTGGGTTCAAGGCCCACATCGGGACCTTGAACTACTATAATCTAGGCTGACACTCAAATAATAATAATTATTGCATTTGATATAGCGCCTTATTACGTTGTTGAGATGTCTCAAAGCACTTCACAGAATATATTGTGAAGTAGTTTGATTGTGTATTTTATGGGTGAAACGCAGCAGCCAATTGCACACAGCTGTGTCCCTCAAACAGTGGTGGATTGAGTTACCAAATTATTTTTTTTAAAAAACGATGCTTGGCATGTGTTGCATTGTTAGAGATGCCGTCCTTCGGATGAGACATTAAACCAAGGTCCCATCTGCCTGTTCAGGTGGATGTTAATGATCCCATTGCACTATTCGAAAAGAGAAGAGAGTTTCTCCCGGCGTCCTCACTAACAACTTCCATTTATATAGTGCCCCTCATGCATCTCAGAGAGCTTAAATCCGCCAGACAAAAATGGTTATTCACTTCATGACTGTTTGTGGGACACTACTGTGTGCAAATTGTTTGCCTTATTCACATACAAAATACAGTCACTACACTTGATTATAAATGCTGCAAAGCGCTTGAGACATTCTCCCAACATGAAAGACACTGCATCAAACGTAAGTATTATTATTTTCACAGCTAGAAACAAGCAGCTCATTACAGCTGAAGCCACCAGACTGAAATTCTAGACAAGCCCGAGTTGAAATGAGAAGTTAAAAGTCTTTCTGCTTTGTGACTAGGTAATTAAAGGCACGCGTTTCCAGTGGCTCTGTCAATTGACCAGTGAATTGTGGCTAAAAATAAAAATCTCAGAGGAGCTGAGATTCAACCCCACCTCAAGTGGGAGAGGGGGGGCGGGGGGCTGGACTCACCACATCTCAGGAGACAGCAGTCTCCCACGACTCAACATCAAGAAAATTTGAAATAGAACAAGTTTCTGAAGCATCCATTCTCACCGTCCGTCAGCCGTTCCCTCCATCACCAGGTAGCGGTTGTCTCTTCTCTGCCATTTGCTGCTGGAATCTGTGAAGTAGATCATTCTTCCATCACGAGTTACGGTGAGATCGTTCACAAAAGCCATCCTCCGGCCCTTAATGACCTTCTGGGTAGAGACCAGCATCTCCACTTCACCTGAAAGTATTCACCCACACAAATGAACCTTTGTAATAGCCGCCAGGTGTCAGCCTGGCCCAGCTGGTTGCACTCTCACCTCAGAGTCAGGTGAAACCAAAAGTCTAGGCTGACACTGCAATACAATGTTGTGGGAGCACTACATTGTCAGAGGTGCATTCCTTCATATAAGATGTTAAACCAAGATCCTGTCTGTTTAGTTGGACGTTAAAGATCCCATGACTCTATTTGAAAACAGAAGGGAGCTTTTCCTAGCGTCCTGGACAACAATCGCCAGAATTAAATCGGTCATTTACTTCCTGGCTGTCTGTGAGAGAATTTGCTGGGCACAAATTGGCTTTCACACACAAAGTGTCTGCTGCATTTGCCTATAAATACAGCCATGACCATAGTCTTAACTCACTGGTTTGCTTTTTTTAAAAAAAAAATCACTGTAGCAACTTGGGAGCTGCTGTATGGCTGAGCAGCAAAATACTGGAGTCAAGGTTTTCAAATTAAAAGCCTCAACAACGTATGGCCGTAGTTCAGCTGAATTATCTAAGATAGCGATTTAATTTACGCTAGACTGTGGCACTGAATAAAACAGATTCAATCGGAACTACTCAAAGGACAATATAAGTCATTAATGTTTTTGTAATAAAGGGGAAAATATAAGGATAACATGAGAAGGGATTAGGAATCATCCCATAGTATTTTATGATGTTCACCTGAGTAGGCAAAAGGGGCCCTCAGTTTGATGTCTCATCTAAAGAACGGCACCTCATACAATGCAACACTCCCTTATAGTGGAGTGACAGTCTAAGTTGGTTGAGTGTTGATTAATGATGCACTTTACCTGTGAGTGGATTAACCTTAAATATCCCATAATAAGCATCAGCAACATAGAGGGTCCCATTGGGGCCGACCCGAATACCCAGAGGTCTTCCGCAGGTTGGTTCATCTTCTCTTGTACCTAAATAGAAGGTGACAGAGTGGAACACAAACACTCTCCGGGTCATATCATAGAATAGTCATACTGCACCATTTATGTTCACTGATCCAACAAGGGTTTAACCCCAGTGATTGTTTAAGGTGAAGAGTTTCAATAGAGGAAAGGACAACCAGTGGATTTATAGCCTTCAGCTTAATTGGTCAGATCAGGAGAGTCGTACTCTTTCAATTGTCAGATACAGAATCTCTCAAACTCTTCAATTCGAACATGAAAGTCAATTAAAACCTTTATATTTTTTGTCAGCTGGGTGCCCGACACAAGCGGAAACCCATCACTATGTGTCTCGAGCCTCCTCCCTTGGTGTCCACCACATACCAACAACAACAAATTACATTTGTATAGCACTTTCACATTGGGAGGACATCCCAAGGCGCTGGACAGTCAACAATTTGGACCTGAGCTGGGTGTTGGGATTAGGAGAGGTGGAGAACAGAGAGTGGGGGTAGGAGGGTGAAAGTGAGGGTAAGAGGTCCCAAATCAAAAAAATAGTAAATCTTTTGTTTGCAATGGCAAATCCCAAATGGAAAAAACATCTTTCCAGCCCCAACTCACACAGAGCAGCAAGTCTACAGGCCAATTTAATGCAAAGTAGGGAAAAAAAGTATAGCGCCTTCTCATGTCAAATACCTCCAAGCATTTTAGAAGCAGAAGCAGTTGGAATAAAATAAATACACCAGTTCACTTTCCCACTGGTCATGGGGATGAATGTGTGTAGCACTTGGCCATACAGTCTGGAGTGTTACAGTTACTGAATCTCGGTCTGAGATCTTGGCTCATCAGTCTGTGGGACATTGCCTTGCACCAACTTGATGCTGCATTCATCCGCAAACACAGAGTCGATCTGCACTTTACAGTATATCCTATGAAGCACTTTGGGACATTCTTCTGATGTGGAAGGCGCTATACCAAATGCAAGGATTATAATTTTATTGCAATTTAAAACTGGATGGGAACAAAATAGAGAAGAAAAAATGTAAGAGCCTGCACATTAACATTGTGTTAATAGATGCTGCGATGTGGGCGACAGGCCTGCCCGAGCTTGCACTGTTTGATACAATAACTAATCTTAAACCATCTTGAGAAATGCATTCTTTCTTCTTTCAGAGGCTTTGTGAAATGTCGTTTGTTATGTAATATCTTACCACAAGGCAGCTTGCCTATCCTCGCCACAGAGTAGATCTGCCCATCTTGGATTTTCAGAATCTGGCCATCGGCCGTGCCAGTGAACATCACATCTGCAGAGATCCACACAAAAGGGTTACTCACCAACAAATGGCTTTGATCTCCATGGATCAATGGTTGAAAACTAATGAGACCTGGAAGTCAAACTCAACATTGTCTGTCACAGAAATTGCAACTTCATTTATTGTACTCAGACACATCCCTCTGATGTTCGATGACTGCACAAAGCTGCTTCTAGATACCAGTGAAATTACAATGAATGGCAATAGGATGAATGTCTCCACTGTTGGCTAGCTGCAAAGCTTCTATATGGATTTAGATGTTCTTAACCAGGCCCTGTTGGGTGTGGGCATCAAACACAAAACTGCCCAACATTTAGCAATGTTTCAGATGGGCCCACAGAATGACTAGGTGGGAAATAGCAAAATGTCATGCTAACACTGCAAGGGTCCTCTTCTGAGGTTGGAGTTGACACTAATCTAGTGAAGGGAGTGTAACCTTTTCTTTACTGCCCCTATCCTCAATGTTGCTAAAGAGTCGAAGTATCTTTCCCCCCCACCAGCCAACTGCTCAATGAAGGCAGTGAATGCACACAGTGCAAATGCTCTATCACCCAGCACTGCCTCACCTTGACAAGCACAAAAGAGCACGAGAGCAGTATAACCTCCCCCATCAAATAAAGTTAGCCTGGGGGGGGGGGAGATGTGGGAGAAAGGTTGTGTAAAATAATTATGCAGAGAAGGCAGTTTAGAAATACAAAGCAAACCTTGAAGAAAAGAGAAGTTCTCAAACAATGTTGCTGCAATAAATGTCAAAATAAATCCTAAAATCTAATTCTATGACAAGCTGACAGTAATTTCGAAACTTAGCAGCTTATAGGAAAAAAATGTTGATTTCACTATAGAATTTGCTGGACGTGATCTAACATGAGACATTCAGTTTAATCCATGCTGCATCATCAGGTTCCATCCTACCTCTGCCCAAATGGGACACTAATGTTTGGACAGTGATTAAAATAACACACAGCTTTTAACGCGACAGTGTACTTACCCAATACTAATATTTATTGGGTAAATACAATAAATATTGTATCCACTTGACAGACAGTTTCTAACAAAAATGTTACACAACAATTCTTTAGAAACTAGGTTTCCATAATCTGCAAAACCACGGAGGGCGAGTTTCTCCACCTTTTCTTCTCGGGCTCTGATCTGGAAACAGGTCTGCAATGAATCAGCCCCTCCCCAGCAACAGAGTCCAGTGATAACTTGATGGTCGGACTCCGTAACATCCCAACCTGCCTTATAGCAGAACCGCAATGGCCAGTCAGCATTGTGTATCAATTCCCATGCGCCAGCTGGCTCACAGGGTAGAACATAGCCAACTTCCAGGTTGCAGACAACATCACTTCCTATGTGCTATGTATGCATTGCTGGTAAGGGGTCAGCTTTGGGGATAAGTAAATATCAGGGACCACCCCTAATGTTCTAAAAGTCTCCCTACATTATAACAGAGCTCTATTGAAAACGAACTCACTGAGAAAGCACAAGCACTCTTGTAAATGAGATTCAATATGGTAAATATTGTGATTTTTGCACATTTTAATGATATCAAATTATATTCATTATCAATCTCATGTATTATAAGTAGATGAAATAATATTAATCCTTGCATTTAATATAGCACTTTGAATGTCAGAAGGACTTCACAAGAGGATATAGAGTGAAATGGTAGTGGTTGTGTATTTTGTAGGCAAACATGGCAGCCAATTTGTACACAACAAATTTCCACAGCAATGTCCCACAACAGTCATGAAGTGAAACAGGGCATATCATTACCATCAATGCACAATGGTACTTGTTCAATGGAGACCCACAGATTATCAATCGCACAATCACCATGTTAATGTATTTACAACATTCTCATCTATTAAATCCTCTAAAAAAACTCTGCATCAGTGTCCATCATCTAATCTTTTTTTATAATAAAGAGGGCAGTGGAATGATTTACAAAATACAGGTTGTGGAAAGTTCAAAAAGAAAAGGGAGATTCTCCCAGTGTCCTGGCCAACAATCTCTCAAACAAAACAGATCATTCACTTCATGGCTGTTTGTGGGACATTGCTGTGCAGAAATTGGCTTCCACATTCAGCCACAAAAAAATACAACGCTTTGAAGCACTTTGAGACGTCTTCCAACCCAGAAGACAGTATGCAAAGATTATTATTATGCTGAAAGCAGCAAAGAAGCACTTGGAAAAGGAAAAATGACAAAGGACATGACCATCCAAATAACTACTCACTGTATCCACTGGCAACCGCTCAAAAACTTGCAAGTACACTAAAAGTATCTAGAAAACGGATTAGGTAATCTAGGGAACAGTAGACAAGGCATTTATCCAGAATTAATTTAAAGTGATATCTCTGTCACGAAGGTCATATAGCACAGGATTCTGTTTCCTCAGAGGCAGTTTGGCTGCAATTATTCTGTCAACATTCATCATTGCTGAATCTTCCACAGCTGAAGCGAACAAGCAGAAAGGAAGCGGGTGGAAAGCAAGTGTCCTTTTGTGATGCCTTCATGCGCATAGAGCAGTGTGCCCGACCGCACTGACCGGTTATCACCTCATGCACGCTTTCATTACGTCAAGGCTTGACTATACAGACTTCTTGCTTGTCGGCCTCCCCAACTCCTCCCTCCATAGGCTGCAGATCATCCAGAACTCTGCAGCCCATGTCCTCTCCCGCATCAGGCTCCGTGACTCTATGACCCCCATCCTCACCTGACTCCACTGCCTTCCCATCACACAGAGGATACAGTTCAAGATCCCGGTCCTCACCTTCAAAGCCCTCCACGGTCTTGCTCCCCCCCTACCATCATGCTCATTCCCTCTGCTCAGCCTATTTTGCGACCCCCGCCTCACTCGCCCCACTATTGGCAGGAGGGGCTTCTGCCACTCTGCCCCCATCCTCTGGAACTCCATCCCACAGTACCTCCACCTCGCCTCTTCCCTCGCCACCTTCAAGGCTCATCTCAAGACCCGCCTCTTCGACCGTGCTTTCAATCACCCTGCTTACCCGCCTGCCCTTCACCCTCCCCGATCCCCAACCCGGCCCGGCTCCGAAACTCTGACTGTCCAGCGCCTTGGGACATCCTCCCGACGTGGAAGGCGCTATACAAATGTAAGTTTATTGTTGTTATCACAGTCACATTGTGTGTGGGGGGTGGGAGGGGATTAGAATGTTATGAACCGCCAACTATTTCCTTATAACAATGCTTTACTGCAGTAACACAACATTATACAATACATTTCACATTTAAATAGCACCTTTCGTGCCAGGAGAACGTTTCAAACACTTTGCACTGCTGGCTGGACATCCAACAACAACAAAATTACATTTGTATAGTGCCTTTCACGTCAGGAGGACGTCCCAACGTGCTTCACAATCAGTGTTTCAGACCCGAGCTGAGGGGAGAGTGGTGGGCGGGGGGAAGAAAGGTGTCAAAGGCACGGTTGAACAGGAGGGTCTTGAGACGGGTCTTGAAGGAGGCAAGGGAGGGGGCGAGGCTGAGGTACTGCAGGATGGATTTCCAGAGGGTGGGGGCGGAGTAGCTGAGGGCCCACCCTCCAACGGTGGCATGGGCGAGATGCAGGACGTGAAGCAGGCCGGAGCCCGCTGAACGGAGGGAGCGGACAGGTTGGTAGGGGGTTAGGAAGTCACAGAGGTAGGGGGGAGCAAGGTCATGAAGGGCTTTGAAGATGAGGACCAGGATCCTGAACTGTATCCTCTGTGCGATGGGAAGCTAATGGAGTTGAGTGAAGATGGGGGTGATTGGGTCACTGAGCCTGGTGCGGGAAAGGACACGGGCTGCAAAGTTCTGGAAGATCTGCAGTCTATGGAGGGAGGAGTTGGGGAGGCCAACAAGTAGAGAGTTTGCATAGTCAAGCCTGGATGTCGTGAATATGTGTATGAGGGTCTCGGCAGCCCGTGGTGTGAGACAGTGGCAGGATTCAAGCCGGGATGGAGGATCTCTGGGGGGTGGTAGGGGGGAGTGGTATGAGACCAAAAGCATGAACAAAGGTGAGCTCTGAGGTGAGCTTTGAAAGTGGGAGGGAGGGGGTGAGATGGAGAGACACTGAGACGGAGCTTCAGTGAACAGGGCAGAGTGGCTGAACGCTTGCCAGCCGATGGTGGGCCGGATAGGACAGGGGACATGGAACAGGCTGGTGCTCGCTGAGTATTGTCAAGCAAAACTGCTTCCTGGTCTTGTGCAACAGAACTTGTACAGCGTGTTTCAGAATTGCCACATACCAGTACCTGGAATTTCTCAAGGTTAAAATTCCAAACAAACACAGACATTACAATTGAAAATAATTTTCCTCCCAAATCCCTGTACTGCACAAGAGCCCCTGACCGAGTCCTTACCTCCAAAGTGTGCAATAGATTCTGGTCCAACCAGCTGGCCTTCAAAAAGACGCTCTGATTCCCTTAGCTTAAGGTTTGGTTCCAAAGCCCCAGTCAACAGTGGAGGTTCTTTGTAGCTGCAAAAACAAACATGGGGATCATAATGTAAAATAATAATAACCCTTACATTTCATATAGGCCTTTCACATCTTAAGGATGTGTCAAAGCACCTCACAGGATATACTGTATATTGTATAAGCGATGGCAGCAACCAACTCACGCAAAATAATGTCTCACAGCCATGACTGATTTTATTGGGGGGGGTGGGGGGGTGTTGTCCAGGAAACCAGGAGAAACTCCATCTCCTTTTGAAAAACTCCTCAGGATCTTTAACGTCCACCTGAACAGACTGAATGGATCCCAGTTTAACAACTCGCCCAATGTCTCATTGGTTTGAAGAGCATGTGTGCTTTGCAGCAGGGGGTCACTGCAGTACAAGTACGAGCAAAAAAAAAAAACTGATTTTCTCCTCCCTACTTCAGGGAGTCCCAAACCTGGGACGTGGCTCAACCGCACATCAGGGATTTACTTGAACAGTTACCGCAGTCATACCCAAAACAATGACAGGGTTACCTGAGAGGCAGAGGGTTTATCGGACACTGCAGAAGCAGGGATGCCCCCAGAAACGGCGTCAGAATGGTCACAGCCAAAGTGGTCAGAGTTATTCGGAACACCTTCCCACTATCAGTACTAAAAGAGAAACATATTCAGCAACAGTAAGTCATTGTACATAATGGGGGAAGGGAGAAAATTCCTTACAACATTAAATTCACAAGTAACATTCTAGTGAAAGCATCAGATTAAGGAAGAAGGCTTGACAACACAGAAAATAATTGTGTACTTGTAAAGCAAATTACTAACTGCAGCAAAACCAAAAACATCTCTAAAATCTCATGATTCTGCAGATAATGTCAGGCTGGCTTAGCTGATAAAGCTTTTGCTTCAGAGTCTGAGGTTCATGACTTCAAACACAACCGTTTTATCAGGAAGGGTGGTTGAGGCAGGATGCACCCCAACACAGAGAGAGCCTGACACACGCAGAGCTCCACATTCGCCGACAGCGAGAGCTTGATACACCCCAACTCACATACAGCCCAACAACGCAATAACAAATTACATTTATATAGCGCCTTTCATGTTGGGAGGATGTCCCAAGGCGCTGGACAGGCAGGGATTGGGATGCAAGCTGGGGGTTGGGATCAGGAGGTATGGAAGGCAAGGAGGGTAGGGATAGAAGGATGACCGAAGGCGCAATAGAAGAGGAGCGTCTTGAAACGGGCCTTGAAGGAAGCAAGGGAGGAAGCGAAGGTACTGTGGGATGAAATTATAAATGGTGGGTCCCGAGAGGCTGAAATGGATGCCCCCAGTGATGATGCAGCGGGCTGGGCGGGGGACATGGAGCATGCCAGAACCCGCTGAGCGGAGGGAATGGACAGGTCTATATGCAACAACAACAACAATATTTGTATAGCGCCTTTCAGGTCGGGAGGACGTCCCAAGGCGCTGAACATTGGATAGCATTTCAGACCCGAGCTGGGGTCAGGGGGGGGAGAAGGGAGGGGAAAGGGGGGTGACCGATGGCATGGTCGAAGAGGAGGGTTTCGAGGGGGGACCTGAAGAAGGCCAAGAAGGGGGCGAAGCGGAGTGATTGCAGTTAGCAGATTACAGAGGTAGGGAGGAGCGAGGCCGTCAAGGGCTTTGAAGGTGAGCATCAGGATTCATCCTCTGGGGGAATGGGGAGCCAGTGGAGCCGGGAGAGGGTAGGGGTGATAGTCAATACACCCCAACACACACACACACTGAGCCCCATACACCCCGACACACACACACACACACACACTGAGCCCCATACACCCCAACACACACACACACTGAGCCCCATACACCCCAACACACACACACACTGAGCCCCATACACCCCAACACACACACACACACTGAGCCCCACACACCCCAACACACACACACACTGAGCCCCATACACCCCGACACACACCCCAACACATACACTGAGCCCCATACACACACACACTGAGCCCCATACACCCCGACACACACCCCAACACACACACTGAGCCCCATACACCCCAACACACACACACACACACACACAAAGAGCCCCATACACCCCCCCCCCCACACACACACACACACACTGAGCCCCATACACCCCAACACACACACACACACACTGAGCCCCATACACCCCAACACACACACACACACACTGAGCCCCATACACCCCAACACACACACACTGAGCCCCATACACCCCAACACACACATACACACACACAGAGCCCCATACACCCCAACACACACACACACACACACACAGCCCCACACACACAACACACACACACACACAGCCCCACACACCCCAACACACACACTGAGCCCCTCATACACACACACACTGAGCCCCACACACCCCAACACACACACACACACACAGAGCCCCACACACCCCAACACACACACACACACACAGAGCCCCACACACCCCAACACACACACACACAGAGCCCCACACACCCCAACACACACCCCAACACACACACACACAGAGCCCCACACACCCCAACACACACACACACACACACACACAGCCCCACACACCCCAACACACACACACACACACTGAGCCCCATACACCCCGACACACACCCCAACACACACACTGAGCCCCATACACCCCAACACACACACACACACACACAAAGAGCCCCATACACCCCGACACACACACACACACACACAGCCCCAAACACCCCAACACACACACACACACACTGAGCCCCACACACCCCGACACACACACACACACACACTGAGCCCCATACACCCCAACACACACACACACACACACAAAGAGCCCCATACACCCCGACACACACACACACACACACAGAGCCCCACACACCCCAACACACACACACACACACACAGAGCCCCACACACACACACACACACACTGAGGCCACCAACACACACACACACACACACAGAGGCCACCAACACACACACACACACACTGACCCACACACACACACACACACACACACACACTGACCCACACACACCCCAACACACACACACACCCACACACCCCGACACACACACACAGCGTTACACTGACCCACACACACCCCGACACACACACACACAGCGTTACACTGACCCACACACACCCCGACACACACACACACACACACTGAGCCCCACACACCCCAACACACACACACACACACTGACCCACACACACCCCGACACACACACACACACTGAGCCCCACACACCCCAACACACACACACACACTGAGCCCCACACACCCCAACACACACACACACACTGAGCCCCACACACCCCAACACACACACACACACACTGAGCCCCACACACCCCAACACACACACACACACACTGAGCCCCATACACCCCAACACACACACACACAGAGCCCCACACACCCCAACACACACACACACCCCGACACGCAGTGAGCACTGAGGAAGAGGTTCTCAGAACCGCATTGACTTTGTGCAGCAACAAAACAAACCACCATTCACCGACAGAGCACAGCGGCCTATACACAGCCCGAGCCCCTGTACACACAGCCCGAGCCCCTGTACACACAGCCCGAGCCCCTGTACACACAGCCCGAGCCCCTGTACACAGCCCGAGCCCCTGTACACAGCCCGAGCCCCTGTACACACAGCCCGAGCCCCTGTACACAGCCCGAGCCCCTGTACACAGCCCGAGCCCCTGTACACACAGCCCGAGCCCCTGTACACAGCCCGAGCCCCTGGCGGCCGGGCCGGGCCGGGGCGGGCGCTGCTCGTGTACCTGCCGTGTTTGCTCTCGGTGTCTGGAGTCTCGTCGTTGATGACCCGGGGCTGGTCCAGGCGGCGGTGCCGCAGCCCCTCCACCTCGTTCATCCCCAACCGGCACTCGCTCTCACTGACTGCCCTCCTGACAGCCCCGCCCCCTGCCCACAGCCCCGCCCCCTGCTCACAGCCCCGCCCCCTGCTCACAGCCCCGCCCCCTGCTCACAGCCCCGCCCCCTGCCCACAGCCCCGCCCCCTGCTCACAGCCCCGCCCCCTGCTCACAGCCCCGCCCCCTGCTCACAGCCCCGCCCCCTGCCCACAGCCCCGCCCCCTGCTCACAGCCCCGCCCCTGCTCACAGCCCCGCCCCCTGCTCACAACCCCGCCCCCTGCTCACAGCCCCGCCCCTGACAGCCCCGCCCCCTGCTCACAGCCCCGCCCCTGCTCACAGCCCCGCCCCCTGCTCACAGCCCCGCCCCCTGCTCACAGCCCCGCCCCCTGCTCACAGCCCCGCCCCCTGCTCACAGCCCCGCCCCCTGCTCACAGCCCCGCCCCTGCTCACAGCCCCGCCCCTGCTCACAGCCCCGCCCCTGCTCACAGCCCCGCCCCCTGCTCACAGCCCCGCCCCCTGACAGTCCCGCCCCCTGACAGTCCCGCCCCTGCTCACAGCCCCGCCCCCTGCTCACAGCCCCGCCCCCTGCTCACAGCCCCGCCCCCTGCTCACAGCCCCGCCCCCTCCTCACAGTCCCGCCCCCACTCGTCATCCCTGCCACTGTCTGACAGCCCCGCCCACTGCCAGTTTTGCCCTTACACTGCCCACTGCCAGCCTTGACCCCCACACACCACCCACTGCCGGCCCTGCCTCACACACCGTCCGTCCACTGCCAGCCTTGACCCCCACACACCACCCACTGCCGGCCCTGCCTCACACACCGTCCGTCCACTGCCAGCCTTGACCCCCACACACCACCCACTGCCAGCCCTGCCCTTCACTGCCCATTGCCAGCCTTGACCCCCACACACCACCCACTGCCAGTTTTGCCCTTACACTGCCCACTGCCAGCCTTGACCCCCACACACCACCCACTGCCAGCCCTGCCCTTACGCTGCCCACTGCCAGCCTTGACCCCCACACACCACCCACTGCCAGCCCTGCCCTTACACTGCCCACTGCCAGCCTTGACCCCCACACACCACCCACTGCCAGCCCTGCCTCACACACCGTCCGTCCACTGCCAGCCTTGACCCCCACACACCACCCACTGCCGGCCCTGCCTCACACACCGTCCGTCCACTGCCAGCCTTGACCCCCACACACCACCCACTGCCAGCCCTGCCCTTACACTGCCCACTGCCAGCCTTGACCCCCACACACCACCCACTGCCAGCCCTGCCCTTACGCTGCCCACTGCCAGCCTTGACCCCCACACACCACCCACTGCCAGCCCTGCCCTTACACTGCCCACTGCCAGCCTTGACCCCCACACACCACCCACTGCCAGCCCTGCCCTTACGCTGCCCACTGCCAGCCTTGACCCCCACACACCACCCACTGCCAGCCCTGCCCTTACACTGCCCACTGCCAGCCTTGACCCCCACACACCACCCACTGCTGGCCCTGCCTCACACACCATCCGTCCACTTCCAGCCTTGACCCCCACACACCACCCACTGCCAGCCCTGCCCTTACGCTGCCCACTGCCAGCCTTGACCCCCACACACCACCCACTGCCAGCCCTGCCCTTACACTGCCCACTGCCAGCCTTGACCCCCACACACCACCCACTGCCAGCCCTGCCTCACACACCATCCGTCCACTGCCAGCCTTGACCCCCACACACCACCCACTGCCAGCCCTGCCCAGCACGGAGATGCTGGCCTCTCAGAGATGATCAGCTTGTTAGTGCAGAGCAAAGATGTGGTACAATAGAGATCACTGAAAATGTGATCTGAAAACACTAAATGCAGAGAAATAACAATGAGTTAAGCCCAGACTTTAAAAGGGACGATACAGCCTGGAGGGAGCTATTTGTTTAAAATACTTTCCTATGTATAACACAGCGCAAAATAAGTTATGAACCGGATTCCCTACATCAAGAAATACTTAAATACTGTGCAATTAATTAATTGAACATTTATCAATTCGACCATGCCATCGGTCACCCCCCTTCCCCTCCCCTCCCTTCTCCCCCCTGACCCCAGCTCGGGTTTGAAATACTGTACACTGTCCAGCGCCTTGGGACGTCCTCCCGACGTGAAAGGCGCTCTATAAATGGAATCTTGTTGTTGTTGTTGTTGTTGTTGTTGTTTTCCCTTTTCCTGTCCCAAAGAGTTGGTGGCTTGGTTACAGGAAAGTTCCACAGTCACAATTATGCCTTCCTATATAGTGCTTATGGGTGGTGCATGAGCCTTGTCTATTACAGCCCAGCAGAAATTATACAGTCAAGGGTGTATCTGTGTCCCCCTCACGTGCACCTCGCACAGAATTCCCAGCAGAGGTCACTATAGAGTGATAAGGAGCAGGACGTCTGGCTGTTTGTTTTCCTTTCCTTGGCCATAGACATTGAGGATAATTGTACAACACGTTAACGACACATCTCGCCCATTATGTGTTACTGTGCTGCAACATTTTCCTACAGCCATATCACTGAAATCGGTAAGTTGGTGGGTTTGGAGAATGGAGTGAATCATTCACCCCCTTAGCCTTCCAAGTAACTATCAGACATCAAGTCCTGGATGAGAGCTAACTTTCCTCAGTTGAACGTCACCAAGACCGAGGCTCTCCTGATTGGCTCCCGTCAGCGCCTCCTCACCTCAGGCGCTGACAGCATCACCATCCATGGTTGCACACTTCACCTTGCGAAGCCAGTCCAGAACCTTGGCGTCTTGTTTGACCCTGAAACTTGCTTCTCCACATCCGTGCCATAACCCGCTCTGCCTTCCCCCACCTCAGCAACATCGCCCAGCTCCGCCACTGTCTCTCACTGCAGACTGCAGAGACCCTCATACACGCATTCAAAAACAATCAGGCTCGACTACGCAAACTCCCTGCTTGTCAGCCTCCCCATCTCCTCACTCCATAGGCTGCAGATCACCCAGAACTCTGCAGCCCATGTCGTCTTCCGCGCCAGGCTTCGCGACCCTATCACTCCCATCCTCGCCCGGCCCTACTGGCTTCCCATCACACAGAGGATACAGTTCAAGATCCTGGTCCTCACTTCCAAAGCCCTCCATGGCCTTGCTCCTACCTACTTCTGTGACCTCCTAACCCCCTTCCATCCAGCTCTCTCCCTCCACTCAGCGGGCTTCAGCCTGCTTCACGTCCCCTGCCTTGCCCACCCCAACATTGGCAGCTGGGCCGTCAGCCACTCAGCCCCCACTTCTGGAACCCCATCCCGCAGTCCCTCCCTCAATACTTATCTCAAGACCCTCCTCTTCGACCATGCTTTCAGTCAACCTCCTTCCCACCCCCACCCACCCTCCACCCTCCCCGATACCGACCCACAGCTCAGGTCCGAAACACAGATTGTCCAATACCTTGGGACATCCTCCCAACGTGAAAGGTGCTATACAAATGTAATTGTGTTGTATTTTGTTGTTCCTTGGGTGATGGGAGGGGAGGAATGGTAAGTGGGGTCTCCTTGTAGCTGAACTGCTCCAAGGTAACAGAACTGTGGAGTCCTGTAGCTCAGTGGTTAGAGCACTCGCTTTGCAAGTGAGAGACCTGAGTTCAATTCCAGGCAGGGTAAAACCTTGGGCAAGTTTCCTTACTCCACACACCTAATAATAATCCTGCCAAAAAAAACAATAATAAATTGGTCATTTTCAATCCATGACTGTTTGTGGGACACTGCTGTGCGCAATTGGCTGCCGCGTTCGCCCACAAATATACAGTCAATTCACTTTACAGTATATTCTGTGAAGTGCTTTGGGTCGTCTGGAAGACGTGAAAAGCGCTATATCAAATGCAAGGATTATTATTATTATTATAACTGAGTTAGCCTTCTGTGGTGATCTCAGTAGTCCTGACCCTGAGCCAGGCAAGTCCACAATACTGCATGGCACTGCTGATGGCAGCACACAAATTTGGAGGCAGGGAATCATCCCATTCAGCTGCTATTAACCCTGCAAGCTAAGGCCCTAATGGGTAGGATGGTCCAAGCTGGATAAGCAGTGCAAGGTTGCCAGACAATGTTTTCAATTGTAAACTATGCGGTTTTAGTTGATTAGACTCCAGCAATACCCCAATGCACACTCCAGGGGTCCCCAAGCCTTGATTCTTGCCAACCTTTGCTTAACTCTCCAGAAAGAGCAGAACAGAATGCGTTCCCTCCAAGGAGAGAGTGCACATTCCATTCCAATACACAGGGATTTCCACGTGTGGGTGGGATGCATGGAATTCTCAGTTTGGTTTGGATACTCCCCAGCAAAGCGATGAAGCCCCTTTAAGTAATGAACACGTAACAGACATAAAACAGAAAGTGCCTGCTGGCACACGCAGGAGGGTCGTGACTAGCAGAAGGCAGGCAGATGGCAGTTATGTGGCAGCTCAAGCACTACAGGTCTCCTTACCATGCCACAGTGTTCCCATTCCTCATTCCCTAAGCTGTTCACTTTTACTGGTGAAATTTTACTGTGCCTCATCAGTGCAAAGTAAGATCGTAGAATGTTATACAGCATATAAGAGCTTCAAGGTATTCCAGGCTTCAAGTCCTGCATTGTAACAGGATTTAATTTGTTTGTAGTCTTCATGTTTTACTTCCAGTTTATGAAATCCCGCATTTTTGACAACCTGTGACTCTTATGAAGTTATCCAGAGGATTTAAATTGTAGATGACCTTTGATTACAGTATACAAACCACGACTGTTTGTGGGACACTGCTGTGCGCAATTGGCTGCCGCATTTTCGCCCACAAATGTACAGTCAATTCACTTTACAGTTTATTCTGTGAAGCGCTTTGAGACGCCTTGAAGACATGAAAAGCGCTATACCAAATGCAAGAATTATTATTATTAAGGTACAGCACGGAAACAGGCCAATCAGTCCAACCAGTCCGTGCCAGGGTTTATACTCCACACAATTCGTCCTTTGTTCATTGGTCAATGCCTCCCCTCACTCCCCCGTCCCCGCGTGTTTGGGTAGAAATTCCACCTGGATCTAGATTAACTTAATTTATGT